CATCTGTCACTGTGGTGCAGACAATTACTCACTGAGTTGGGGAGGGAAAATCTGCTGCTTGTTTCTAGCTGAGTTGTTAAGGGGCCTCATGGAGAAACACAATGGCCTGAGAGTGGGAACACACTGCTTCCAGTGTGCTTGGCAATTGGCACTGTCCTGTGATGTTTTTTCAGGTGGAAGAGGCCAGGGTGTGTTTCCAAAGTGGGAAAGGCATTAGATACAACTGGATGGAAGCACAGGCATAGGAAAATGTAAGTCAAGAATCAAGGCTCGTGGACCACAAACCGATGTAACCGAGAGTGACACACACACTCCGGAAATGTGAGGCAGGCTGTTGCTTTGCATCTCACACTTCCCAACTTTAGCGTGTGCTCCCGAGTGCTTCACATGTACCCAAGAGCTCTTGTAGGAAGAGCACACCTCTACTGTTTCTGTAACAAACTATGGCCACTAATGCGGAACATCAGAATCTCAGTTTGCCACTTAGTAGAACCTGCTCTACCCGCTTTCCTCTTCCTTCTAGGTTCCTTTGTCCACCTTGTGCAGTTTCTGGTATACGGACACCTTCACATCCACCAGAGGTTTCAGAACTGTCCAATTCTGAGAAGTGTACCTTCAGTTAGTTTTATCTATATTTACCAAAGAATGAAGCTTCAGGAAGAAATATTTCTTAGATTTTTAAAACTTGTTCTTGATTGGGACACAATTTCCTGTAGCCCAGGGCTGGCTTCAAACTTACTTTGTGGCCGAGGCTGGCCTTGAACTCCCGATTGTCCTGGCTGCCATGACTTCCCATGTGCCACACTCGGCCATCAGAAATGTAGTAGTAATGTGCAAACAGACTGAAGATTTGGCGGTTTCTATTTGGATCATGTTTTAATAAGGACTAAAAAGTCAAGGATCAAGTGCACCACTAAAGTGCATGATTTATTTGGAAAGGACACCTGGGTGGGGGGAGCCATCTTCTCACAAAGACTCTGTTTTATTATTGCCTACCTTGTCCTCAAAACTGGGATTGTGGTGACCCAGCAGTGAGGGCTGCAAATCTGAGGGTGATTTAAACATGTGATGACTCAAATTCAGGTGACAAAGCTGATGTACAGATAAGACTCACTGTGGCAGTAGTAGATCATAACCCTGGCAGGGGATGGCAGTGACTCACCAGACACAAATCCAAGGCTCCTTAAGGGGTCAGGTGTATAAGGTAATGAGCCCTTCCTTGCTGTGAATGGACTCAGCAGGAGCCTTCATGGTCCACTTCTTGCTGACTTTATATTACTGTAAGTAAGTCTGTTACATAGATGAGTGCTCAGTACCCCAGGGACTGAAAAACAAACAGTGTAACAACCCTACTCACTTTTGTGGAAGAAAAAATTCTCTTCACAAAAAGTGAAGTGCTGTTTTAGCAAACCAAACTCAACATTTTCATGGATATTACAAAATATTTCAAGTGTCTCAGGAGGTCATGAGAGAAAGTGAGCCATGCTGCCCTGGTCACAAGATCCCAGTTGGAAAGTGAAGTGAAGGTCAGTTCATTCCAGTTTCAGAGGAAACAAAAACATGGACGTGTGGAAGAACAGTTCAAATCAGTTATGAATAAATTTGTGAGTCAGCTACATTGCCAAGTTTTTCTTTAAAAACTTTTTGAGACACTGAAAATTCCCAGAGCTTAAAAGCAATGAACATGTAACAGTTAACATGTTCATTGCTCTGGGTGAGTCAAACCCAGAGCCTCAGGTAGACTATGTAAGTACTCTACCACCCAACATAATACCTCCAAGGTATTTTAATGATATTTGCATGGCTTTGAAGTTAGGAGAGACAATCTTGAGATGTATCCTAGTGAGAGAGCACTCGTCTGGTGTGCAGAAGGTCTTAGGTTCAATACTGACCACCGCAGAAAAGCAAAAGGAAATGAGAACAAAAGGTGAAGAAAATAATATACAAACAATAATGTTCTAAACACTGTGCTTTAATATTTCAATTCTTTGTTGAACTAAAATAGTTTTCTACAAAAAACTCAAAGTATTTCTTGCTAATGACTTCATTTTACAGTACCAATGTAGATCATCTCTCTTTCTGAAAGACAAAATACAAGTTAGAATGGTTTTAAAAGTATTTCAACAATTCTTCTCTTATGAGACATCTGCTCAAAATGAAATGCACTGAGTACCAATCTGAAATGTTAAACACGAATGAAGGGCAGAATGTACCAATCGAGCCTGCACACAGCATACAGACGTGGGCTGCAATCTCATCTGTGTGTACACATGCGTACACATGCATATTTAACCCTGCCATCTTAACTTCTGTCTGCTTAATCACTACAGCCGGGAGTCCCAAACCACTGTGTGCAAACGTGGAGCCCAATCTATGGGCAAGCTGCACGTAGCAACAGATTTCCACTGGTATTTACTTTTGAGACAGGGTCTCACTAGGTAGCCCTGTCTGTCCCGGAACTCACAATATAGACTAGTTTGGTCTTGGGTGCATGGCAATCCTCCTACCTTAAATCTCCCAATTTCTGGGAATATAGGTGGATGTTAGCATAGCTGGCCACTACTAAAGTCATTACTTCCTTTAGAAACAAAAGGGAGTGATTCGAGGGGAGTGTAGCCTCATGCATTTCCTTAGGAAAGGAAAAGGACCGCGGTCCACATTGGACTGATGTCAAGTTCATACAATGTGGAGTCTCACTGCTTGTGAGGTCATGCTCATATTCTCTGGCTACTGCAGTGAGTGGATGGGAATGGGAGACCCTAACCAGTCAGTTTTGCAGAGCAGCGTGATAGCTTCATGAAGAAGCAGAGGTAATCTCAACACTGTTTAAAGGAGATATAATTGACACATCTAAAATCACAAACCGCCTTGATGACGGCTTTGTGAGCCCATCTCAGCTGACAAAAAGTTATTACTCTCTCTTAAACACAAACCAGTGGGCATCGTGTGTGTCCTGAACAGACACCTGGTTTACATGAAAGGTTCCTATTTCAATGGGGTTAGGCACAACAGAGCATCATACCCTGTTGATCTTTATAAGGACTTGATGCTGATGGGGTACCTGTGGGCAGAGTGGGTGGCGTGGGGGCAGGCTCCTCTAAAGTCAGTACTGATCATTTACTCCAAGCAGATAAACACTAAAAGAGTGTAAACTGTTCTCAATCACCTGTGAGTCAACAAGTTTCTAGTGTGAAAAGTACAACTTTGGTGTTACAGCAGCTCAGCCAGCATCTTCCTGCAGCAGCGGCAGGCTTGTCCTGTCTGGAGGTCAAAGGGAAAGCACTCAGATCTATGGAAGCCCTACTGGCTGCCTGTGGGCTGCTCCATGGATCCTGGGCAACAAAAGAAAGTGAAAATAGCAGCCACTTCCTCTCAAGCTTGGAACCAGGCCTGCAATGGCTTCACTGTTTCTCACTGGCTCAAAACAGAGTCTTTAAAAATCCCAGGGCTTTAAAAGACCTTCAAGAAATGAAACTCAAACAAAGAAAGGCAAACAGCTTTGGAATAGACCCTTGAGTATAGAATACTATTATTATAATCTCTTCCAGCTTCTCTCCAACATGAATACAATAAGCATTTAGGAAGACAACTGTTTAAAAATGGCAGATTTCTAGTGACAAACTGGGACAAGTAGCAGTGCTGTACCCAACACAAGTGCTGCATGAGAGCTCACATAGCTGTCTACCTGTCTTGTCCTAGCCAGCCCACTCCTTACCAGCCAAGACAGTTCCTAGAAGACATGCGGATGATAGGATGATAACCAAACAATGGAGGCTGCATTGTCATTAGAGGAACACGTAGGAAAGGTCTGTTATCCACTGAAACCTTTTCTACTGCATTAAAAAATACTAAAATTTTTTTTTTCCAATTCACAAAGTTGAAGTCCGTACTACTTTTGCTCAAGGATAGACTTATGTGGGCTATCTCAACCTTTCCTGAACCAATTGAGACCATTGTAAATAATAATAGTTATCAGTGTTTTTAATGAAGAACATAACAAATCAGTATTTTCTAAACAGAGAACAACTTAGAATTTCTGACATTATGAAGTGAATGACTCAGAAATACCTCAGTGATGGAATGGAATGAACATGCTGCTTTGCTTAATTGTACAGTAAGTATTTTAATCTGAGAATGACAGGTCCTCTAAGTTTTTCCTGTTCCTCAGGGAGCAGGTTAGGTAATTGCCAGACATCTTGGTTATTGAGGAAGCTACTTGTATCTTCAAATAAACTGACTCAAGAGTCTAATGATTTACTTCAGTGACTAAAACCTTAAATCATCTTTCTTCATCTTGAAGCTGATCCTTAAAATTACCAGCCTTTGGGAAGAGGTAGACATCTGGAGGGCAGGGTTTACAGTTCAGTCAGCATGAATTTAAAAAATACAGTTTTCTTTTAGTAATTATTTTATGTTCTAAATGAGGTAAAGTTTATAAACTACATTGGCGTAATGTTGAGGGCACTCTGGTGATGATGACAGCGCGAGTAACTTCCATCAAATGTCCGAGGGAAATATTGATTATTGTTTGCCCACTGTGAATTCACACTACATTACTAAAAGAATCAGTGGGCACCATTGCTGCAAATCCTTATGAGAGGCAAAGTCAAGGAATGAGAGCTTACCAAGCCTTTCCCAGATGTGCTTAGGAATGCCTGGATGGGGAGGGTGTGGGAGGGAGGCAGACAGAACTACCTAGTGTAGGCATCATGAGAAACTCGATCTTTTCCGGCTTGGTTTGTCTGGGAATCACACACATGCATGGATGGAGCAAGGCAGCAGAAAGAATGGACGTTTAGGATCAAAATAAATAAGAGACAAACTGTTCTTCACGTCTAGAAACTGCGGGAAATTATGCGGAAACATAAAGGCTCATTGAGGGTTGTACTTCAGCACCATGAGTTGTGATGGAATCCCATTTCTATCACTGGCAGGACACTTCGCAGCCGGGAAGCTACAGAATAGCGCTGAGATCGTGTTTAGAACAATGGGGCATGGGAACAGAAACTGCATGTTCTCTTCCTTGCTTTTCTGCTCAGACAGGCTTTCCCGACGTGGAGGCAGAGCTGGTAGGGGTGCTTTTTGGTAGAGGAAATCCAAGTCCTAACCCTTTTGGCCTCTGCACGGCTTGAACTGGCTCAGAGATCCCTCTGCCATCTCTCCCGAGGCCTGATCCGGGTGTCCAGCCCATACTCTGCAGCATGCGGTTCCCGATGTTGCTCTCTAGGATTGGCTGGGCGTTTTCACCCACAATTCCTGAAATGAGAACACGAGCCCACAGGTGAAGATCTACTCAGGGCTGAGGAACTGGAGCCCTAGGGCCTCTGTGTCCCTTAACCACCACACAGGCACCCAGCAGTGTCTGCTGCCTATGTTGCACCGAGCCACAGGGTCAGATGGGCTTCACAACTGGGTGTTTTCACTGCTTCATGGGCTGTGTTAATGAAACAGCAACTTATCCTGCCAAATCTTCCATTTGCCCTGGACTCTGAATGTAATAAAGCCAAACCATAACTGGTTGCACCCTGTATTTCTAAGAATTTAATTATGTGTGTGACTTACACCTATATAGGGATATGCATGTCTCAGAGGCCAGAGGCTGACATCCATGGTCTTCCCTGTTATTCTTCACTTGACTTTCTGAGATGGTGTCTTTCACTGCCTGCAGCTTGGTGATTAAGTAGACCCAAAGCCAGGAAGTCATCTCCAGCGCTGGGGCTATGGGCCCAAGTTGCAGCGCTCAGCTTTAACATGGGTGCTGGTGATCTGCCCTCAGGCCCCATGCTTATCTCAAGCTGGTAGTTTATTTTCACAACACCCCTCTCTTTCTTTATTATCTAGTCTACCACAGCCCTCAACTCTACGCTCAACCTTCTTCTACAGGTCTGTGCTTTAATGGCTAGGGAAGCAGGTTACTTGGGAACAATACAGGAAAAGAACACTGAAGATCTGTTCATGGTGGTTCTCCCTGAGACCAGAGGGAAGCTCTCTCCTCACAGAACCTCAGGATGCCTATGGTGGCCCAGCTCAGTCCCTGAGTCTGGGGTGTCTCTGCTCTGAAATATGGTCAGTGTTCTAAACAGACATTGAAATGGATGACTTAACACTCTTCAATGGCTCCCGAGTGGACAGCACAGTTTACCTTCCAGTCCCACACCAGCCTTCTATCACCACTGATGTGTTTCCTCCCTGACTGAAGATGATGACTTCAACGTATCAGGCTTACACCCTTCGACCACCATAATTCAGAACACTGTCCTCAAATGAATACAAGGCATGGGGGACCCTCAAGCATCAACACTGACAGTAACAAATACCCAAGGGCTCCAGACAACAGCAGTGGCCTAGTTCTGCTGTGGATGGGTTGAACGGATGAAATTTGTTACTGCTCTTTAAACTGTGTGCACACGTGACCTTTGCATTTCATAGTGGACAACAAATATCAGTGTAGAGCCAATGATCTCCCTTATCCGGTGTTCAGAGGAATGAAAAGTGGGTTGACCTCCTTGCCTTGAAGAACCAGGCAGTGCTGCAGACATACGTTAAAACTGACCCTCTAGTATTTACTACAGAGCAAGCATCAGCTGGACAGTAAGTTATTTATCCATACTTCTATATTCTCCATCTTTAGTGCTGCAGGACAAGAGTAACAGTCTTCTCCATTTGAGAAATTCCTTACATTCAATAGGGCCCACTCTTATTAGCTAACTCAAACAGGTCGAAGGGCCGGGGACCTCAGTGGTGGATAGAGTGCTTGCCAAACGTGAGCAGGGCCCTGGGTTCAATGCTCATGACTGTAAGAACACACACTTTAACATGTGGCAGGAAAAGCCTGCTGTGACCTACAGTTTGAAGAAGAACTGGGGTCTAAGCCAAATCCTTGGCTAACCCCATCTCATGCTTGAATCAGTATACAAAACCTACCATAAATGAGACTATGAGAAAGAATAAATGAAATGAAAGTAGACCCTTGAGTTAAAAAAAAAAAAAAAGAAAAACATTTGGTTAAAGTTTTTGGTTATATAGCAAACAAACAAACAAAAAAACAACAAAAACCCAATTCAGTTTATATTTCAAAACAGCAATGGGGTGGCCACCCATGCTTGTGGAGCTGCAGGGTAGGTGTCAGATGAATAGCATACTCGTAGGTGAACACCATGCAAGTAAGTACACTCGCTTAGCTCCAGCCTTTCGGTGAGTGCAACAAGTCAATTTAATTCTGTGCATAAGCTGAACTTAGGTCAGAGGTCTGATGCTGCCCTTGGCGACACATCTGGTCGAACAGATTTTTGGAACAAAGGATTGCAGGAATTCAGATTTAATTGAAAAAGAGAAAAAGAAAGAAATATAGGTCAACTTAAAGCAGCTCTAGACATTGCTGCACAATGGTCAGACCAAGTCCTACGTGACTCAGGGAAAACAGCGTGTGGCTGTGATGCTGGCACAGAGATAAGGAGGCCAGTGGAGGCAACTCTTTTAAAGTTATGTGCTTATAAAATGCCAAAGAACTCCTTCTTTCTCACTGTTTAGAATGCTGTTTAATTTTTTTTTAACCCCATAGAAATAGAATCAAATAAGTGATGTCTTGTATTTGGAAGGAAAAATAAAGGGCACTGACCTCTAAATGTGTGTGTTCCCACACAGGACTAGCGGGGAAAGACAAAGGGACCGCAAGACCCCCCCCCCTTCCTGCTCTCTCACTCTTGTTCTGTGAGAGAAAGACCCAGGAGTCGAACACTCAGACTTAACACAGCCCATCCCACAGCCGTGACTCCCTTTTCTCTGGCTCCCAGCACTGTAGCATCTCTTAAGTCCTTTCCTAGACTGCACTCTCTGTGTGGGGCCGTGGCAAACTTTTTCCTGCTCCAGGCTTCAAGTCTGTCTGCTGGGTTCCCCGAGTCTACTGAAATAGTGTGTCCTCTCCTCCCCCACCCCCAGACCTTGCACAGAGCAGAGTGAGGTGGAGGGAAATTCACTTGCCTAATTGGCTCAAGAGATGAAAATCTTGCCTCAGCCTCTCTTAGTCACTAATCTATCCAGCTGACTGCAAGCCTAATTGGCAGCTTGTTGAGTAATTTGGCTCCTAAAGTGTTGTATTGATGTTGGATCAACATCCACTGGAAAGGGAGGTGACAGGCTGCTTCCCATATGACAGCAAGCATGGGTCTGTCCTGTCCTTGCCCTGTATTCAGAAGGCGGTTATCAGTTCTCCCTTCTTTCCTGTCCTTTTCCTAGCTAGCAGAGGGTCAGGGCTATTACTAGCTATGTTATCAAAACTATGAGCTGTAATTACGTTCTTAGTATCTACTTTAGGGACAAGAAGTGACACTGTGGTGTTACTACTGTTAGTTAAATGCTTCAATTATTTGACCTGTAATATTACACATATATTTCATGTAAATAAAAATATAAAAATCAATCTAACTATGTGCTTAAGTATCTATCCATCTATCTACCTATCTATCCATCTATCTTAATTGTTTTTTATTTTCTTTTATTCTGAGGTGCTGGGGATGGAACCTAAGGCCTTGGCAGGGTTTGCACACACCCACTGAGTATGTCAGCCAGCCTTGCATTTAGGTTCAAACAATGAGAATAATTTAAAGTGAAAATATTATGTAAAACCAGTTTGCTTCCTTAAATGATGAGACCCTAAATGAAAGACACACACACACACACACACACACACACACACACACACACACACACACACACACACGTTCTTTTACTGTGTTTGGAGGAGTGTTCTTTGTAATAGAGGTTTAGGTTACAGCAAACCAAACAGGCCAGGCAACAGTAACTTCAAACAGCACTAAACTTAGTGCAGTAGAGAAACGATACCTGAGTGTAGTTGTTATCATATCTCAACAAAAGTATTTAATATTTTTACCGTCAAATCCTTAATAAGCTAGGACTTCTACCAAGACGAAGACCAAGCTGCCACTGCTGGCCTCCTGTAAGAGGGTGACAATGTTCTTACTCTATTGCTCAGTGCTTTCCCTCACCTTTACAGACGACATTTTGTAGACTATAAAATGCACTCTGCCAGCATACCTCTTATTTCAGTACTCCTCAGTTTCACAAGAGTAAATCTACATCCTTTGCTGGAGACACACACTGGCTTTGGTATGTGACTTTGAAGGAGGCAGAGAACAAGCCATACATTAAAAAAAGTCAATATCTAGCCCTATCAATGTTCATTTTACATTGTCAATTCTGAACACAAAGGTGAAAGAGCAGTACATACACTAAAGCACAGAAATAAATTTGGTGTTCCTGTCACAATTAATAAATGTGTAACCAATACCACAGCCGGCTGTTGTAGCCTTCGAAAGAGACCGAACTAACTCTGCTTGGCACAACTGCTAAGAGGACGGGGATTTTCTCCACTTTAGCCCTCATCACAATTAGATCTGGTTCAGAATGTCTTACAGACAACGCCACTTATCATGAATATATTAGACCACTGTTCATGCTGAGAGTCATCAGCTTACACATATCCAATGTGGGGCGGCAAATGAAAAGTTCCTAAGCGTACATTTCCCGCAAGGTTTTGCTAAGTCTTTTCTATATCTGCTGCTTGTTTTCATAATAAATTACAGAGTAATCAGAGAGAATTGCAAGCAATATCCACCTGTCCACCTCATCATTCTTCCTATTTCATATGAGGAGCTTTCTTTTGAATTTTCCTCATTTAGAGTCAATGCCGACTAAAAGTGACATGAGAGTGAAGGCAGGGAAGGCCTGCAAGGACCTGTGAGCACAGCAAGAACATACGTGTGTGCGTGTGCACACACGTAGGCCAGAGGGGGCATTGGGTGCCCACTCTGACACTCCACCTTATTCGCACGATCCTGGAGTGATGCATGTGTTAAGCAAGGCCTAGTGACTGATGCTCTGGTCTCTGTCCCCTGCAGCACTGGAGTTACTGGCTTTTTGGGTGGCTGCTGGGTATCTGAACTCAAATACTGGTATCTGCATAGAATGTGTTCTTACCCACTGAGCCATTTCTCCAGCCTGAAGAATACCTTTTCAAGAGGAATTTTACAAGCCAGAAGAGTCTTGGAAATGTATAGATGCTAGAGACTTTGAATTCTTTGAGGAACTCTACTCCAGAACTTGAAAACACCAATTTCAGGGACAAGGTGCTGTTCAATGTCTAACTTCATTGTCCGGGTATTTATTTATGAATTTTTTTTTTTTTGACTGCATCTGGATAAGCACCTTCACTCAGGTCTGGGTCATTAGTGTTAGAAGGTCTTCTCTTAAATCTAAGGACTTGCACCAAACACCTGCATTTCTTCCTCCCAGAAAGGAACTGCTGTACTAGGTTTGAAAATACACTTAAAATGAATGACATACATTTTTAACAACCAACCAACCAACCAACCAACCAACCAACCAACCAACCAACCAACCAAAAACCAATACAATGACAAAAGCTCACCACAATAAATGCCTATGAACTTTTTTCCATTAGCTAAAATCTAGTAGTAAAATGAAAATCTCAAATCTTAAAAGACCTGAAATATGGTATCCAGAATATGCTGGCACAAGCTTAGCACAGATTTATGGACAAAGGACTGTTTTACGCTACAGTTAAGGTTTGCATTTAAAATTCTTCATCAATGGTTTTCTCTGATACCCTGAGCTCTGGATGCAAACTCTCCTGTACAAAGAACTATATGATCTCTTCTTCAAGCACCTGCTATCCCCACTTCACATAGGTGCTAAGCGTCAGGGGCTGGCCCAGTCTTCTGCTTTGTTACTGTGGCCACATGGGACCATTAGTAATGTTCTTGGGACATGTCCTTCTGTGGATTCTGACACTGAGGTCAGAGTTCACCGGAATGGGGATGGTGAGGAATCCTATCCCAGCCTTAGGAGACACTGGAAGATCTTATCACATCTATCTGATCTAAAATGTGGCTGAATTTCCTTATGGGTAGATACTATCTGTTACAAGTATTTCAGGAATACTCTACATTTCTCCACAGTAACAGCTGATGCATCTTCTACAGATTGGGTTCAAGTCAGTATATGGAACAGAGAGGGTTCTTTTTAAATTCACTTTATGTTAGTGTATGTTAACTGTACAAAATAATAGGTTTTGCTATGATATCTTTATTTTTGCACATGATGTATTTTTATGGGATCTGCTGACCTATCACTCACTTACCCCCCCCTCCCCTTCTTGGTCTTTTCTTTTTCTGGGGCATGATACTTTTGACAACTAGATGGCATTTGTGACAGATAGCCTATCTAGCTTTGTTTCTGATCTTTGCCAGGGACACCCAAGACATCCTCTCTTAATGCCAACATAGGAGAAACATTTTCATGACATCCCACAAGTTCACGTTCACTTACATTGTATGCAGTGATCTAACTGGAGCACGGCTGTTGAGCCTACATGTACACCACTCAACTGTACCAAGGGCAGGCAGGTTACTTCAGAAAGGAAGAGATGGGGAGGAAATAAAAGGGAGGAACAAGAGCAAAAGGAGGTCTACAAATATCCTCAGGATATGTACACTCTCAGGATGCTCAGGGCATTGCCGAGGAAAAAGCACATCTTTAGCAGTTAGTCAGTGACTACCCTATACCCACCACTCAGGTCTAGTAATCAAATGGTGTTAGGTAGTGAGCTATTCCTCATTTCACCTGCTTATTCCCTCCTTCCCCTGCAAGTCTGAAAACCTCTTCAGGCCAGCCAGAGACACAGCGTTGGAGGTTTCTGTGTCTTTCCACCCATTTGGGTGTGTGCACAGCACGTGTCTCATTGATTAGCTACTTACAAGGTCCACACAAGGAACGGACTATACATAAGTTCTAATGTAAAGGCAAATGATCAATCTGCATTCCTGCTTCCTGCAACCATGCCTTTCTCGCAGGGAGAGTGATTACCGATCGCCTGTGTTCTATCCCTGGTGATTTATGGGGTCTGCATTTGTGCTCCACTCCACCCCTTCCATTTTACCTGCAGCAGGGGGTCCAGGCAAAGGGGCAGCTTTCCTTCTCCTTTTGATGTCTCCTGTGCACAAGGATCCTAAATGCATGCTTGTTTGCCTACAAGTAATTATCAGAAGAAATAAAAAGTATTAACAAAGGAGGGGGAAAATGACACATAAATACACAGCTTGTATAATCTCAACCTAAATCAAACATTCTCACCAAAGATGGAGCTGCATAGTAAAACCACCAATCTTGTTTATATCGAAACATAATTACGTTTGTTGACAAGCATTCAGCAGCTAAATGCACCATCATAAATTGTTACTGGGATGAATAATATAAAAGGAATGCTTTTTAATTTTCAAAACTGGCAATCTTTCTGGCTCAACATAAAATCAAGCACTGTTGCTTCTGACAGGAAAATAGCGAAGATTAATTATCTAAAGAGATCACAATATTGTTGCTAGGTTATCAATTGGTTGCTAATGCTTTACTGTCAGGACAGCATTTATTACAGGAAAAGTATGATCAATTTCTTTTCGGATGTTATGCAGCAGTGAATTCTTTTAAAACATTTTAAATAGATGGAAGGAAATGGTGATGCTGTCCTTACAATTCATACAATTAGAATTGCTTAATTATTTACGAGTCAGGAGAGAACAATTGGAATTGCATGGATGCCCGGCTGCTGCGCTCCAAAAGTCTCTCTTGATCCGAGGCTACAAATGTGTAAAGACACGGCATACAAGAACTCAGGGTGAGCCTTGTTGTTTTTGGAACCAGTTACAATTATCCAATTCTGCTTAGCTTTAGTTTTCTAGAATTAAAAAAAAAAAAAAAAAAATTAAAAAAATAATGGCTCAATTAGAAGCCAAAAGGGCTAGTGCAAAGAAAGGGAGGATTTAAGTGTTCAGACTTTGTAAGCCAAAGATGGGCTCTGCACTCATTCCCAAGACCACAATCCTTGATGTGAGGTTGGGATAGGGACTGAAGACCACAGAGCAGAAATAAATGAAATGTATTTATCAAATCACATGCTCTTTTATTTTTACATGGAGGTTTCCGGTAGTTGCAGAGGTTTTAAACAATCCAAATTGAAAACAGCCACATATATCAGAAATGAAAAGAAATAAAGTGGTATAATTAAAATAGCGGTACATACTTATGCTACATTCATATATAGGTTTAAATGTGATGAAAAGCCATTGCTGAGCAAACTGTATACATTTGAACAAATCGTTTCAAACATAGGTGCAGCCATGATGAGGGAGGTAAGTAATACAGTCAGCAGAATAGACAAATAGTAGAGTAAGAAAAAGACAGCCACTAGTTTTCCTGTTATACTGAATCCACACTGTTTCTTTGTTATAGAATAAATCTCCATTTAAAAGAATTAGTTCAGTCAGTTATAATTTTGCTTTGCTCACAAGTGGTTATTGTCATGCAAAACTATAACCTATCTATTAGATTGGAGAGGGAAATCTTGCGCTATGATCAAGAAATGTTAATGATAATATTTGCTTTTTAAAATCATATAAAATTTTATTCATTGTAAGGAAACCATGGAGACCCATTACTTTTGTACACAATTAGTTCAGCAAGCATTCACTAGTGTGCACTATGAACATAGCATACACTTTAAGCAGGTTGTGAAAATGCAGAGGGCAGAGAAGAAATGAGGACATGAAGGGAAAGGGGGCTTTCAGTTCTTACTACAAAATAATCAGGAGTGGTAATGATGGTGGCAGCGACAGCTCCATTACACACTAGCAGAGATTCTATCATCTAGTCTGTGCTAACCGTCCTAAGCATTTGCATGAAACACACACACCCTTTATGGGGTTTTCTTTAATGGAAAAGCTATGCTTCTGGAGTCTACTCTTTGAATTCTAACTCTATCAGAATATTGCTACAACTCTCAAGAGCACAGAGAGAAGCAACAAGAAACAGTTCCTGTCTACAGAAAGGTGAAGAGATGCTCTCGAAGGCCAAGTGGATGGCTGTGGGAAAGCCCCTTTCAAGGTCACTTGCAAATTAGAGCTCTTCTTTAACCCACATGCAATGGTGCTTCTCTGGCTTTTCCTTTGAAATTGCAGTAACAGCCGCTTTATCCCTGTAAATGAAGTCAACAGACTCCAATACTTCCATTTTATATTCTCATAACAGTCGTGAATTTACTTTTTTGGTTAAAAAAAAAATCTCACCCTTTTTTGCTTGTGTGTTCACATGCACACATATATAAATGTGCACATGTGTTTTAGCCAGAAGTCCACCTCAGATGAAGTTCCTCAGAAGAGTGACCATCTTCTCTTTTGTTGCTGGCCTGGTGTGAGCCTGGTGTTTACTTTTGAGTACTGGGAATCTGCCTTCCTCTCCTCTCCAGGCACAGGGGTTATGGACCTGGGACATCATACCCAGCTTCTTATGTAGGCATTCAGAATATTAACTCAGTTCCTCAGCCATGTACAGCAAGCACTTTACCCATCTACCCAACACTGTTCTTCAATAGGTGTTCAGAGCCCAAGCATTTAAATGCTTGAAAATACTCCCAAGCCACTTTTGTCTTTAAAAGGTTTCTCACATTTCAAAATTTATTAGCAAGGCCCACTGATAGGATTGTGGGAGACAGACTTCAAGAATACTACCCTCTTCTAGAACTTTTGTGAGCAAACAGTACCATCTTCAGCCAGCTCTTCTGCCCACCCAGGACAGGCACACAAAGAGGTAATGACCTTGCATGGAGACTACAGTCTGAAACAATGGACTCAGCGACCTAAGATGTGAGCCAGAAGGAAAAAGCCCGTGGGCCCTGGAAAGTTCATGGGAAAACGAGTGCCCCGCACGTGGGGGCATCTGGGCTGCTGACCACAGCACAGGCTGCCCACTCCTACCTCGTTTCAGACTTGGGTAGTGGGACAGTACAAACAGCTAGGTCTGCTAACACAGCAGCTATGACTTTAAAGTCAATGAATGTCACAAAGGCTACTTGTGTCTTCAGACTATTTACTTGGCCATCTGTCTTTGCAAAGCACCACACCGAGAGCTTGGTTTGGGAGTGGGGGTCAGTGGGGGGGGCACCCGGGTGTCTTAAGAGCAATATAATATCCCATGGATATATCAAAAATTTTCAGAATCATGTTAAGATCCATTTTTAAGGGCCTGAAAAAAATTTGGCAACAAATAGATTTGTGTATCTGTATTAGCTACAGAAGTTGCCCATGAAGAGAAGAGAGGGAGGAGATGAAGGCTGGTTTATGGTTTTGCTCAGCTTTCCCAGTCAGTACTTGGGTTCCAGGGACCAGTCTATGGTGCAGTCTAGACTCTCCTGTCATCTAAGTGGAAAGGACAAAGAGAGAACTCTGCTTGGATTGATTTCTCTGTTGAGGATGACTGGAGATGAGGTTTCCCATGAGGTGTTCTATTAAACATAAGAAAGCCAGAACCCAGAAGCCTTTTAGTTTTGTTTTGTTGCTTAAGCAGACTGTGCCTGACTAATCCCCATTGTTTACTGCAAGTAAGCCTTTCAGATGGTGTGACAGTAGAAAACGGGACATCTTATCATCTGGAGGAAAGAAAGAGTAATCAAACAAAACGATGACAAAGCCTATGGAGAAGCACCTTGCCGGAGAGCGTGGCTTTGACAGGGGCTGACAGCACGGAGGCAGGCCACGTCAAACACAATAACAGTAAACGCAAGACAACGGGAGCTTGTCTCTTCACGGCACGCGTTTAGAGTCTTTTCAGAGCATCAGGCCTTGCAAAAGCTGCCCCCTGGATACAATGTGTTCCCAAGCAGCCTGGGACAAGCTGCAGAGAGAGACAAGCAGATGTGACCATGGCCCTGGCATTTGGCAAGAACACTCACTGTCAGCTGGGACAATATCCGCCTGGACAGGGCATCAGCTGCACAGAAGTGAGGCAGGTCTGTGGTGTCACTGGAGGAAAGCCTGGGTGGCAGAGGGATGGACAGCACTGGGAAATGCAGCCCTGTGTGACCCTCCCTCTCTAGACTCAAACATCCACATACCCCCCCTTACCCAGTGTCATTATGTCTCCACAGATTAAACTGAACAGACAGGGGTGGGCTCGAGCTCTGCTCCTTCTGGACCCCAATGCACATCAAGTATGAGGAACTTTCAAACAATCTGTTTGTACAGGATGAGGAAGGAGTTAAAACCTTATGTTTCAGTGTTTTCTTTCAAAGCCCCTTACTCCGTCCATCCGTCCGTCCTCCCCACCCCACATGTGTGGTGTGTGTGTGTGTGTGTGTGTGTGTGTGTGTGTGCGCGCGCGCGTGCACTTGCATGAATAAGCCAGAAGTTTATGTCCCTCTTAACTGCTCCCTGCTAAGTCAGGGTCTCTCAATGAATACTGAGCTGCCAATTCAGTGAGTCTAGCTGGGCAGCACGCCTGAAGGATTTCCTGTCTCCACCTCCCCAGAGCTGGGATTATAGATAGACCTTGTTTGTGTGGGTGCTGAGGAATCCAATTCTTGTTCTCAGGGTGGGGCACTGAACTTTCTCTCCAGCCCTTTCTTGTGTCGAATCTCACAGGACACATGCAGCAAGTCTCCATTCGGAAGTGTTGACTTATCATACAGTAGCTCTTGGTTTTGTTGCCTTCACTCTCTCACACTTTGGCCACTTGGCTTTACATTCTGTCTCAATCCCATGCCAAGTCTCCTTGGATGTATCATATTTTAGGTCAGTGCCCTGAGGTAGGTGACTGGTTGCAGTGTTAGGGCTCATGCTGCCTTGGCTTTATCATATCTTTCCATATCTTATTCCTTCAGAAACAGGTTACTGACAGGGTCTCCCCGATGTTCACACTCTGGGCCTGCTAAGATTCCTGCAGCAGCTTTTCCATTGGTACTCAGCAAGCCATGTCTGTTAATCTGAATTTTCTTGTTAAAAGTTCTCTTCCCGCCAGCCCACAGACCCTCTCAGCTGCTACTGACACATCTGTCCTATTAGACTCTGCTGCCCCAGGTACAGAGTTCTAATCCTGTTCCCTTTTTTCCCAACCTTTTTTCTCTGCTCTGTATCTGGGGGTTGCTGTGGGAGCTAGCTTACTGTGCTCCCCATGGCTAGGAGATCATCCCCGAGATCAAGTGT